TCTAAAATCAACTGTCTAAATGTAAAGAAAACATTTCGATAAGGATTGTTATACTTCGTCTTAAACACCACTTTTAGATCATTGATTTAGTATAAATGTAATAGAAAATGCTTTACTAATGGGAAACTAGTGTTGGTTTTCTCATAATGGCATCTTGTTTATTTATCTTGTAACATGTCATTTTTGAAAATTTTCTTTTTATCAGGAAATTGAGGAACCTGCATTGATTCCACATATAGCTGAAGCAAGCTCCATGAAGTATCCGTACGAGGTCCTCTTCAGGAGCTTGCACAAGCTGCTTATGGATACTGCTACTTCCGAGTAATAGAGTTTGCTCTGCTCCTTGATATTGTTTTCTAGACTCTAGTGAAAGATTGACCATATGGAAACTTGTTTTCACAATTTCCCCCTCTTACCTGCAGGTATCATTTCTGTGATGATTTCTTTGGTGAAGAATCCATATTTTATGACATTTTTGCGGGTAAATCTGACATTTTTTTTTATATGATCCATTAGCTTATGGTTAACTTATTCCTAATTGCTTACTTATTGCAAATACAAAGAGCAGAAAGTTCATTTCTGTGGTCTGCAGCAAATTTTTACTGCATTCTACTGGTGACTGTTAGATTCTGATGGTCACTTTTGCTCTTTTGAAGATTCTCATTGTGTTTTGTTTTGAAGAAAAACAAATGGCTCATTTTGATGACTTCCTGAATGCTTTTTGATGCCAGGCCCATTTTCTGTAATTGATGAACACTTCAACTCAATACTTCCAAATTGTTATGATGCTATTGGTGTGATGCTTATGATTCGTATAATACACCAGCACCAGGTAGCATTCCAGTCGTCTAAGATTGTATTTTATGTATTCAATTCACTCATGTTCTAGTCAACAGTTTCATGACCTCCATATTGTGTGACATGCATATCCTGCTCTGGAGTGACAATTTTTAATGAGGATTCCAAGTTAGAAGCATATTCAAAAGAATCACGTGGGTTCCAAAATTAATGTCAACCATGCCAATATCATGTCAGTGCAATGTTATTTCAATACCACTGGTAGTAGTGGAAATGTATCCTAAGCCCTAAACAGAACCTTTTTAGCCATATTTGCCACGCCTTTAGGCTGGCTGTTCGAACAACAAGGGTGAGATCCCATTTAAGAAGGGGACTTTACAATATATGATTATGTATTTATTCTTGCAGCAGATCTAAAAGACAGAACTCAATTGTTTTTGGGGAAAACATTTACTATGACTTTCGTATCAAGTTGAATATTTGAATCTAATTAGTTTTATGAGAGCATTAAATTATTTCCCATTTTGTTAGATTGGAAGACAGCTACCATTTAGATCGTTCTCTCGTCTAATTATGAGGCTGATCAGTTTTTGTTTTATTTTGTTTTGTTTTGTTTTGTTTTGATATGTACAATAGAAATAGACTTCTTGCCCATTGCTTATATAGTTTGAGATTTGCTATTATTTTTTATAAGTAGTTTGGATTTTCAGTTTCTCTTCTATTTCTCTTGGTTTCTTTCTGATGTGATTGTTATTAATTCTTAAGATAGACCCATGATATTGTCCTCTTGTGCATGTACTGTGTGGCACATGTCACTTGGCTGTAGATATTGCACGGCAAGCGTTGGACAATTATCATTTTAATGATACCGTCAACTTGTGTCATATGGTGCCTTTGCTAGAAGATAATCTATTACTGATATTTTATTTTTAAAATCCTTTGCAGCTTATTATGTCTCGGCGGCGTATTCCATGCTTGGATTCATACTTGGACAAGGTGATTGTCTGTTTGCTTATCTTATTATCTGCATGTATTTTCTTGTATTCGTAGACAATTGATGATATGTAACTGTTGACTGGAATTTTAACTAAGGAAATAAATTCTGATGGAACTTTTGATTTTTATCTAGGGTACTTTTGGTTTATGTTTTAGCAAAATGGATCATATTCAAAGCTTGTTGCAGTTTGTCTTGGTCTTTTATACCATAAACACATGAAAATACAATGCAGTCTGATTTTGAAATATTAACAGGTCAATATCGCTCTATGGCCTCGTTTTAAGATGGTGTTTGACCTGCATTTAAACAGCTTGCGTACTGCAAATGTAAAGACATTGTGGGAAGATGATGTTCATCCTCACTATGTCATGAGGCGTTATGCTGAATTCACAGCTTCACTTATCCACCTGAATGTGGAATATGGAGATGGGCAGGTTAGATATAGAAACTTAAAAAAACTTTTTGCTCATTAAGATTCTTGATCACTTCATGGACTTAAATATCCTTCCATGATGTGCAGCTTGAATTAAATTTGGAACGACTGAGAATGGCTATTGACGACTTGCTTATCAAGCTTGCTAAATCATTTCCAAGGGCAAAGCTACAAACCGTGTTTCTGATAAACAACTATGATATGACGATTGCTGTATTGAAGGTAAATTCAGTTTCTTGTTTCTTTTGAAAAAATTGAAAAAAAAAAAAACATTAATGATCTTTATCAGCACTAAGGTGAAATTTAAGGGTATGGCTAAATTTCTTGGACATGCTCAGTCGTATATTTTGCAATTTTTGGCATTTGAATATAGGAGGCTGATCCAGAAGGTGGTAAAATTCAAATGCACTTTGAGGAACTTCTCAAAAGCAACACAGCATTATTTGTTGTAAGTGCCTGGTCCTGCTACCTGTCTTCCAGAAAATGTTTTGGTGAAAACTGCAAAGTGCTTGTTAATCTTGGAATTCTGCAAATGAAGTTCAGATTTCAGCTAAACATTTTATGCTTTCCTAATTCATTTCTGATATTGTTTTTCAGTCTGCTTTTATATTCTTTATAAGCTTTTAAAAAGAACATAAATGGAATCATATGAACAAAAAGAATTAGGTTGATTAAAAAGTCAAATGTGCTTATTTAGTGATTGTCCTCTTTCCATTGATAGGAAGACTGACGCCATCTCCTTCGAACCATTGGCTTGACTTGTTTAGTAATGAAAATTATTATTTTCAGAGAAGTTGTCATTGATTTTGGCATAACTTGGACTGGGCGGGTTGATGATTTGCAGCAGTCTTTCCTTGACTATATGCTTTAAGGGGACAAGCTAATTAGTTGTGGTCTATATGGTTTAGTAAATTAAGCAGACAATCAAATGATTTTGGTTTTAGGCTAGTGATTTTAAAACTTGTCCTGCACCTCTACCTGTGAGTGCACAAAGAATTGTTAAATATTCAATTCGGAGTGCAGCTTGCTAAATAAGGAGTGCCAAAATTGCGATCTATTACCAGCACACTACTCAGTATAAGGAGAATGGGACAAATAATGCAATCTGGGTTGTATAGGGTCTTCTGTCCTTTCGGTATATTTAGCTTTGATTTGCTTCTTTTGTTTTAAGTTTTTACCTCTCTCCTTGCAGGAAGAACTACTACTAGAGCACTTTAGTGATTTAATCAAGTTTGTTAAAACCCGAGCCTGTAAGTATATTGATTAATAATGCTGTGGCATCTTATTTTCTTCTAGTTATTTAGATTAATGTAATTATTTGCAATTTACTTATCAGCGGAGGATCCAAGTGCTAGTTCTGAGAAGCCTATAACTGTTGCGGAGGTTGAGCCGCTTGTGAAGGACTTTGGAAGTAGATGGAAAGCTGCAATCGAACTGATGCACAAAGATGTCATAACTTCTTTCAGCAACTTCTTGTGTGGTATGGAGATCTTGAGGGCGGCATTGACTCAGCTGTTGCTTTATTATACTAGGCTCTCAGATTCCATAAAGAGGATTGTTGGTGGGTCTGCGCTTAACAAGGATCTAGTGTCGATATCTTCAATCATGTATGAAATTAGGAAATACTCAAGGACTTTCTAAGTTGTTCAGGTTCATATGGGTTGCCTGGGTTTGGATTTTGGACATGGTTGATTTTAAGGGGAAATTCAATATGGAAAACATAATGTACTGATCAAATATCTTCTTGTTGTGCCCGGGAAAGGATGCCGAAGAAAAAGATTCATTCAGTTGCCTTCACTCCGAAGAAAAATATAGTTCAAGTAGTATTCTTTGGAAAGACAATTTTTCTTAGTAGGAAAATGTAGTTCATTCCGCAGCAATGGTGATTCTAATGGTTTGTAATTCTCCTCGCCTGTTTCCTCAATGCCAAGCTTTGCATTCTTCAGCCCTGGCTCTTGGGTTGAGGAAAGTAGTTGTGCGTTAGAGTTCTCAGAAGTGGGAAGGTTCCATTGGTCAATGTACCTTTTTGGCAATCCTGTTGGGAAATTCCTGATCGCTTTCAATCTTTGTTTTGATACCAAAATCCCATTTGTCATACACACATGTACACAGATTAATAAACTCTGGTTTAGATTAGTAGATGCTAATTATTTGTATTTTTCAACAAGAGCAGTGGAGGTGTAATTTTCTGTTTTTGTGTAGTACTTTTCATGTTGAACCGTTCGAACACCCCTCTGGTTACAACTCCAGGATCAAAACTAATACAAAAAATAATACCAGAAGGGTTAAAACGGTTCTATTTAAAGGACTCGAGAATTACCTCCTGCAAGAGGGAGAAGCTTGCCTACGCCCGTTCATGAAAGAGTCTCATACCTGGTATATCACGTGAGTGGCACATGAACCACATGTGGGATGCCTGTTTCATGAAACAGGTTTTTACAAGTTTTCTCGTATTGGAGGACACAGGCACAATTAAGCCTATTTGGTAAATAATGTTTATTTATCTTCTAAAATTATAAGTAGCTAATTGCAAGATACACTTGAGTTTGTTATGTCTGACGGTATTTATGCAAACCAGCATCTCTCATGCCCCATATATTATTTCAGATTCCATAAGGTTCAAATACGAGATAGAATTATTGATCCTCAAAAGCTTAGTCATCTTTGCAAGGTGCTTGCCGCCTTTGTAAAGTACTGTGTTATTTAACCCTGATAAGCTATTAGTCTAGCAACTACCGTGTTATGTTTCTAATCAGACAATAAGAATTGTTCTCCAGTCTTTAACAAAGAATCGCACAAACGATGCTCAATTCATATAAGCTTACGGAGTCAGTAGAATAGTTTATACAATTTACAGGAGGCTAGCAAGGCTCACTACTTGAAAGAATTAAAGAAGCTGACTGTGTCATTAAGGGCCTGGATAAAGTCGTCAATATCCTCTACGGTGTTGTAGAAGTGAAGACTCGCACGGGCGCTTGCACTGACTCCTAAATGTCGATGAAGAGGTTGGGCACAATGGTGACCAGATCGGATAGCCACTCCGTGCTGGAATTGCATAAGTTGGCAATGCATCAGCTATTTTATTCATTATCACTTCTATCACAAAGGAAATAAAGCCCTGTTTGTTTTCATACCTGTTGGTCAAGATAAGTTGCCAGATCTGTAGGGTGAATATTGTCGACGTTGAAAGAACAATGAGCAGCACGGGTGACATGATTTGAGGGGGCAGGACCATAAATGTGAATATTGGGGACTGAACTAAGGCTATCATATAGGTATTTAGCAAGAAATATCTGCAAAAATAAAATAAAATAAAAATTGCAAACAAGAACGACTACTGTGTGAGGACTACATAAACACGTGATCTTGGCTTAAAATAGAGATCGCGTGTTTATGCACACATTCGTGCAAATGTATAGTTGTGAAATTTGGATAATACAATGAACGAAAATCTGTTTCTCTCCTGCCCCCCTCTCTTCCCAAAACCTCACTATTTCCAATACCCACCCCAAAACGACAAGGTGCAAAGCAAGCAATCCCTTTCAAAATATATGTCCACGGGCATTGAGTCAAACCTCTAGCCACAATCTTGAGATCCCAGCCATTCTAAGATAAGCTTTACTTCTGATTACAGCATACCAAAGGGAATTTGTCTGTCGGGAATCTCCAAAGCCAGTTCCCAAGCAAAGCCTCATTTCCAAACCACATTCCTTTAAAAATATATATTGACCTCAAATGAAAAACCTTAATTTCAATGGCTGATATTAGCCATTTGACCAAAATTAAGACTGTTATAAGAAGGTCTAATTGTTTAATTAGCTTAATTTCAGGCCTATTGTATGATTAGCTTAACTCTTGTGTGATTAATTCAAGACTAACCTACAGATCAGATTTATGCATTGGTGTCCTAGACAAATAGCCAAGTCTTCTACTGATCAGTCATGCAATACAAATATCTTTTCCACTCTCTTATAGCTTTTCTCTTCAACTATGTACTTGCTACAATAAACCAAAATAAAAGCTCATCCAACAGAAAGTTCTAAACCAGTTATAAAGAATAACAAATGCAAAAGGCAGAAGAGTTCAACTTACCTCATAATCATGTATCTTTTGCATACCAAGTCCTGACAAATAATCAATAGCTACTCCTAACCCAATTGCTTCCCCAATTGCTGGTGTTCCAGCCTCAAACCTAGTTCAGTTAATGGAGGACAATTACAAAAAGACATCAGCAGATAAGTAGTGTATAATTAATGTGGAAAAACCAATCAAGCCTGAGAAAATAAGAGCACAAATAAAATGCTCTGGCTAAGTCCAACCACACTCATAAAGGGTGATCTGCTTCAACGAAAAGCTAAAAATTACACAGGATAAGGAAAAGCTGAAATTCCATCAAGGACGTGAAACAGGATAAGGACATATCTACCAAAAGACAAGGCGAATTCACCAACCTAGATGGAGGTTCTGCATAGGTGGAATGATCTAGGAATACATCAGATATCATTTCTCCACCACCTAGAAAAAGAGGTAAAACATTATACGAGCAAGTCATTGCCCTTTTAGATATAGGTATACAAAACGAAATGAACTTTCAAAACACAACTTATCAAGAATCCAACGCCTGTGGGCCCACACATCTGAGGCATGTTTGTTCTTTACTTCATATACTTGCCCATAAGGATATTTTAGTACATAAGGCAGTATCCTAACCTTGTGAGAAGAAGCAACAAGAAAGTCAGCATTCAGATCCTGTACATCAACCACCATATGTGGAACACTCTGACAAGCATCTACAAGAACTTTTGCACCAACATCATGAGCACAAAGCACGATATCTTTGATAGGAAGAACAGAACCTGCATGAAAATATTATAAATGCATCAGTACGGTCATGCTATTTATTATGTGTTTCTTTGACACAAAATCTACGGTATTCAATCAACAGCAAAACAGAAGAAATTTACTCAAGTAACAGTTTGATGCATTTGAAAACATTATTAATATATATATATATATATCTGGACCTATGGAACTTGTCTCCACCAGATAACTGTGGCCTGAGCAAAGTTGATACCAAAGCAGCACAGAGATGAATCACATGCACATGAAAGTTTCATGAATCATCTAGCATGGCAAACCTAGAATTCACTTGCAGCACTTACCATCAATGAAATCTAGATAAAGAACGAATATACAAATAGGGGCAGGAAAGGACTACAAATCTATACTTTTTCTACAGTTCATAGCTTATGTTCCTCAGGGAAAGATTGTGGAACATAAGCTATAGGCTCTATAAAAAATCACGTTGAAATGTAAACCACAGAATCAAGGACTTTTTGTCATGTTTATTTTAGTATAATTCGAAAAATCCATAAAGGGACACCTATTGTATTACATAAATAGAGAAGCACAATCCAGACAACATTCAAAAGTCAATCGCAGAATATTCTGCTAACCACAAGAGAAACTTTACTTTTCAATGCACATACAGATAAGATGCCCCATGTAAACCAAACCAACATACTTTTATTACATTTACACACATTGGAGCATATCAATATGACGAGAGCTAGGTCACAGCATCAATAAACACCAAGCTGATCTATCTGCGTTCAGAATTGTATAACCCAAATCAGACGTCTCTATGTTTAACCACATCCTTCTTATTCTTACTAGTGAAGCCGCCAGTATACATAGATAACACTAGAATACCAGAATGGGGCTTTTCTAAATAGAGAATTATTGAAAGTGGCAAGCAGAAAACCCTTTCTTTATCAATTGAAACAGAATAGCTTCAGTAATCAATTGGATCACAATAGCTTCAGTAAACGGTAATGCCACTAAATAATACTTGGCATTGCAGGTTTATTTCCAGTTCAGCATGCTCAATAATTGGCAACAAGTTTTTAATCACCAATACAAACTAATTGCGAACATAATGTGTAAAGAGGAAGAAAAACCCACTGATGGAAAAATAAGGGAAGAAATTCAACAATACAAATGGCTTAAGACAAAGAAACTTACCAAGCACATTTGAGACATGATGAACAACTACAAGCTTTGTTTTCCTTGAAAGCATATCTTTTAAATTGTCCACATCTGGAACTTCATCCCCATTTAATTCCACAAATTTCAAAACAGCGCCGGTCTTTTGAGCTACAAGTTGCCAAGGAACGATTGCACTGTGATGTTCAGCAACTGTAAGTAAGATCTGGAAAAAAAATAAAAATAAAAATGATTGAGCAGGAACGGTAGTTGCTTTTAAGATTCAATCAAGAGCAATCTACGGAACAGAAAGCTGTTGTCATAAAATCACGTGCAGCTATTTGAAACAAATCATGGAAGTATGTGAAATCATGGAAGTATGTGGAGATATTAAATGCTAAACTCGGATAACGAAATAAGAGACACCATCACCAAAAGAACATGATCACCATATAAAGAACACTGCAATTGTTTATTCCTTTATGAACGGTTGTGGCACGAAGTGATTCTGATGAATAAATGAAAGACATAATGGAAAAAAAATATAGTGAAGTTGTACCTACCTCATCATCTGGTTTTATATTTTGGAGTCCCCATGTGTAAGCAACCAGATTGATGGCTTCAGTAGCATTCCTAGTAAAAACAATTTCTCGTGAGTCCGATGCATTGATAAAGTTGGAAACCTTCTTTCTCGCCAGTTCATATTCTTCTGTTGCCCTTGCACTAAGTTGACAACAAGAGGAAATAATAAGATATAGGCAGGCTAAAAGCATAACTAACTCTAACTTCAAATCATTTGTCAACGAATTAATTAATAAGTGAATCAGAGTGATATTGACTCAGACAGAATTAGTTATGTTTGGTATTTTAATGTTACTCTAGTCTCTAGTCTGTACCTTAAGTAATGAATCCCACGATGCACGTTTGAATTGTAAGACTCATAGTAATTCTGCAAAGCTCCTATCACAGCAGTAGGCTTTTGGGAAGTTGCAGCATTGTCCAAGTAAACAAGCCTAGACCCATTTACTTCCTGCCAAGTTCATGGGGCCATGAGTACTAGTAAGTAACAAATAATAAATTAATATCTAAGAATTACAGACACAAATTTTTTATTATAATAAATACAGTTATATATGAACAGACCTGATGGAGGATGGGAAAATCGGGTCGGGTCAAGTGACCAAGCGAAAGGGATGCAGGTGGAGCAGACGGGGCCGCCGGGTGGCCTTCTTTAAGAGTTGAAGCGGATATGGAAAAGGGTCGGAAGTTCCGAGTAACGCAGCGGGCAGGGCTTCGTATGATTAGGAATGAATAGGATGGAAGTTTTACAGATACTCCTTCCATTGTCATCATCATTTACCCTTTTCTTTTGGTCCTTACGCTCCCTTCAGTTCTGCCAAAAACGTAAACTTTAGCTAATGATAAAGTCTGGGTAATCAGAATTGAAACCCAAAGGCCTAAATTAAACGCAGTTGGAGCAATTCTGCATCCAATACTAAGTCAAATATTTACACAAAAATTACAGCGCTTAATCACTGTGTGTGTGAGAGAGAGAGAGGTTATCAAAACCCCAAAAAACCAAAGCCAAAAGAGCAGAAATGCAGAGTCTTGAGAACCTTACCCTAAGGAGCTCGAAGGAAGGACCAAGAATTCCAAAGTGAAGCTTTTTCTGAGCTTGCAGCCGAAGCCAAAAACGCAGTTGGGTCTCAAAAACCCCTAGAAACTCAGAATTGAAAATCCAATAGAAATTTCTAACGGGTTGTCTCGTTATCACAATCGGGTATAATATCTTTTCTAGCGGGTAAATTGAGAACGCTTGCCACTTAAAACATTGAAGCCATGTGGACCGTTCGTTACATCGTGCGGTCGTTCACGATTTTCCGTATTCATAGCTGTGCGGTTGTGCTTGGATTTTCTCTACACGTTAATTTAGTGTAATTTTTAGACTCTAGCTTGCATAAAGAAATAAGAAATAAAAACTCAATTTTCTCATAGGTTTTTTTTTGGGAGTTTCACTAAAACACTCAAAATGGGGGTTGAAATTATAAAAAAACTCAAGCACTATTTAAACATATAAACACACCCAAAACCCATCATTACACACACTCAAAACCCATTTATAAACACACCCAAAAAGTTGACTTTGGAGTTGATTTTGAGTGTGTTTCTATGTTTAAATAGTGCTTGGGTTTTTTTATAAATACATGTTTAGGATTGGGTTTATTTATAAATTTGTATTTTTTTTTTTATAAAAAAATTATTATTAAATTAGCGATAAAATTATTGAGAAGAGGATAAAAAAAGAGTAACATACATTATCTGAGAAGATTAGGCGCTCCCCTCTACACATAATTGTTTGGTTGTCCAACTAACCAAATAGTCTACATTCTTCCCATCAAAGCATTGAGAAGGAACCAAAACCTCTAATAGAGCACCCCATGAAAAATATTATTGACATTCACCAAGTGTGTGGAGCAAGTTCGAATCCCTTTTCGCATAAATTAGATTAATTTAGAATAGTTTATACTATTGCTTACATGAAAAAAAGAAAAAGAAAAAAAGAAGACGACATTTTCATAGAAAATGGCTCCCTCCAACGTGGGAATAGAAGAAATCAAACATTTTAATTTTCATTAGCTTGGCCAACCATTTCCAAACAGCAATGACTTCAGCGTAGGAGTTCTTGAAAGAAAAGGGAGAAATGTAACATTCAGAGTTAGGGATAAATTGAAATTAAGTAACTTAGAAATGTCTATGCTGTATAATACAACCCTAACTAAGCATTTTACAATATATTTCCAGAAAAACAAACTATACTTAGAGGTCACGAAACGCCTTTAGCGTGCAGGACGGCAGGACGGCAGGCAAAGCAACTGTGACATGTACAATCTTTCATATGACACCTATATGACGAGAAATACGAGCGGAAGCCGTGTCTAGGCAAAACTTGCATGTCCATAGTCATGATGAAACAGAAGAAGAAACAGAAGAAGAAACAAGGTGATGCTCAGATAGTTACATGCTCTGCAATATGATTGCACATCAGACAGGAACTCGATAAGACGGATCAACCATTTTCAAGATGAACAAGTTTCCTTTGTCACCCCTTGAGACACTGCCAATAGAAACGAAACATGAATGTTATGAATTGCCGTTCAATGACCGAAACGGTTGTTATTAGATGTAGATGAAATTAACCCTCAAGAAAATGTAGCAATTTAAATAATATCCACCACAGCATCTGATCTTCGTATTAGCCTTTGGACAGGGTAAAATTAAGAAACGGAGAAAGAAAACCTAGTAACAAATTCAACTCGTGGTGAGTTAAATTTTGAAGAAAAAATCCTGGGGCAGGTCTCATATTAACTTTTTTCAAAAGTTCAACTAGCTTTATGCTTTCTATGTTTCAAGGGATATGAAGAATCAACTCCCTCAATAACAAATGTAAATTACAGCTTCCATGAGACTAATACAAATCACAAGTGGGTTTATCCAACCTCCAAAGTTTATCAACCTTTTCTACGATCCAAGGCAGTTGGAGGTCGGACATGTTTCTCCAATATTGCATGCATTCTTATATACTTAACATAAATGCATTATTTCCTTCAGTAGGGAGAACCGTATCAACAAGTTTAGCTCTGTCTGTAGTCCTAAATATTCAGACAAAAAATAAGGTTCTCACACTCACCGAAGTTCTTCATCCAAATATGTAATTTCCAGTTCTCCGCGTGCTCTTCCAGGTGCCTTAACAGGTATCTGAAATATAAAACTTATTAAAGGAAAATAATTTGATAATGTATCATTATTTTATTTTTCATTTTTCTATAAGAGACTGCATCATCACTACGCTTCATAAGAAGTTTGGATAATTCAGTGAAGCATATGTAGCATATCTACTTTTTCCTCCTCGAATAGCATAGGATCAGACTAGATTATAAAATATATATAAAATTTGAAAACGTAGACTGTCAGAAATGCTCACAACAATGCATTTTCCCCTCTTTTTTAATCTTTCCTGGGGGCTACAAGACAAAGAAAGGTATTGTTATGCTGAAATTTGCTATAACTAGTTGCTGAAAGGTGATCCAAAATTTCTTTAGGTTATTATATTAGAGCAACGGTTTGTGCATCATCTGATCGCTAGCTGATCTTTAATATTTCTGTTATGGCAAATCTGAGTCTATTTATTCAATGTCACAATAACAAATTTCTTCACCCTTGGTTGAGATAAGAGATTCAAGCCTTCAGAATAAAGAAAGACCTAAATACTCCATCATGGAGCCTAGATCGTAATGTGTGAGTTGCAGTGAGGTATACTTTTCATCCTTCTAACCTAATAGATATAGAGGACAATTTTCTCCTACATGGTTGCACCAACCAAGAACACATGCGACACAACTCCAACCCTGTATCTGACCAGAGTCATAAAATCTCTGAAACTTACTTTATCTACCCTTCACTCTTAGTAGTTTTGTTAATTACAAGTCCAATATTTTTCCAGGTAAAAAATTTCTTTGATACTTTCATTATTCTACCAATTATGAGAACACTTTCTATATAACATAGAAAAGGTCCAAGGTTCCAACAAAATGGGAAAACTGCACAATTTATATCATCCAAAAGAGGTTTAATATAACACAATCAGGAACATCAGAATTTAACCTTCAGCTTAATGATCAAACTTTAACATCAAGAATACTTACCAGACCTGCAATTTTGAAATAATCAAATTTTACAGCCACTTTTCTTGCATTCAAAGGCGTCAAATCAGCTGTTACCTATGGAGCATTGATAATAAAAAGTCAGTAAAATAACAGGTCCGGTTTTAACAACATACTCACTGTTTCTTAACGTGAAAAGAATAAATTATTGATCTGACATCTAAATGGATTTTAGTGATATAAAACATACAAGCACAAGTGCTTCCATCCAATTAGAAAAGAACCTTCAAAGCTGTTAGTACATATTACCATGTTTCCTCTTGAAATTCAAATTTATTGTACATAGAACATATTTTGAAGGATCAATTAAACTCTACACCCTTGTAGTTTGAGAGTAAAAATCTGTCCGTCCTGAAGTTTCAATTTGATTAATTTATACCGTAACATTTGCACATTATAGCAATGTGAACCTTCAGTATAACTTCCACACAAAGACAGATGGATTGGTGGTGACAACATTGCAACCATTTAACCTTAAGGGTAGAAAAGGGAATGCAAAAAGTATTCCTGCCTAAAGCACACAGTAGCTGCATGATCAAACATGGAGGAACATTACCCACTTTTGCTGCATCCCCTGTTTCTAGCTGATTTATGTATGTTTTAGGGGAAACGCATTTTTCATTCCTCTCTACCTTTAAATTAGTACAAATAATAGCCCTGTGGTAACTAAATCGTCTGCATTAATGTAGAAAGTAAATGCAGGGTTATCATTACTACAATGTATAATGGTAGGGTTGAAACTTGATCATATTAAAAGATCAAGGAAAAAATATGGCGTTCTAATCGAAGGATCATGCTTCTTGTCTCAGCCCTATTAGGGTAAGGCTAATGCACCAGCCAGCTGGTGTGGTGGCAAACACAATCTTCTGTAAGCTAATTTCACTCAACTATAGGGATGCAAAGTGCAATTGACCCTATGTTTAATTAAAGCCTACTTGACAAGGTGTGTAATAGCTATTGTGGTAGATTAATATGTTCAAAAACCTAAAGCATTAAGCAGAAGTCCACCTTCCCCAATCTTCCACATATTGCAACCCCCACTACATGACTATGGGTCCATGAAAACAAGAAGTAATTATATTTCTTTTATATGTGATATATTTTGTCATGAATCCCTTTCAAGAACTTTGGTTCTAGTATCGTTTTGGAAAGGCATAAGGATGGATAGGGGTAGCAGGAGTAGAGAGGTTCATAATTCTAACAATTTTTTTAGTTAAAGCCACAATTTCTTTTTCTTTTGCCAAATTTTTTTTTTTTTAATAAAGCAACAAAGTGATATTCAAAACAAGTTAAGCTCTCTATCAGAAATTTGGTAAATGATAAATTCATAGACGTAGTTAAACAAATAATGAAGGAATGAATTGAATATTACCTGATTGAAAGTTGGCCATGATTCCATATTTTGGGCCCTAAGTGTGTCAGCATTGATTGCTTGGTAATTTACCCTTGATCTCAAAAATTTGGGTCTCTGTCATGATATACATTTGTCAAGTGAGTGCAATTTCTAGGAGCTGTAAAATAATCTCAAGTACGAATTTTTCACATCTTATAAAATGAAAGAGAAAGTAGAGATATATCATGATAAAAGAGCAAGCAAAGTATCTTCATACATACAAGACATTACTAAGATTTAAAAAAAAAGGTTAGAAAAACAAGGAAAGAAACATCGCATCATATATTGCAGTGCTAAACAAAATGAACCAAATCCGGTTAGTTTGGACATTTCTTATTAATAAAAGGAAACTCTCAGTCTCAGTCGCATTTAGAAGCACATGAGTACTAATCAAAATGAAGGCACTTGTTTAAGGTACAAAGTTATATATATTTCTCATTGTGATATCAAGGGTTCTAACAAAGCCCACTATGAAATGGATGATATTATTTTTTTTCTAATTTCATTTTTACATTGTCATATGTTTCTAGTCTTTTGGACAGACTTCTAGTCTTGGAAAGACATAAACAATCAAATATCAACGGAAGTGGAAACTTTAATTGGCGAAAGTAATATAAAAAACCACTATACCTGAGTTTGCAGAATAGACTTTGAAGTAGTGTATATAAGCTCCCATTTTCCATTCAGTAAATCAGATTTGAGTGGCTCCTTTGTTGGATTAACTGCTTCAAGTTTGCGTGCAATCTATTTAGAAATGAATTGCAAGAAACAAAATGGAAAGATGCACATAGACATCAGAAACTAATGTCTCACAACCCTCTACTGAGACAAAAATGACATATTAGAAATAACCACAGCCAAAAAGCACGTGCTAATACAGGATCAACCTAAAGCACCATGGACTTACAAACTTTCAAGGTTATGAAGTTGCAAATATAACAAATCCCAATCATCTTCTTTTTTTTCCTGTGCTCAACTTTTTTCTGGATTGGTTTGATGTATTTGTTCATCTGCAATGACAATTTTCCTAAAATTGCTAAATAGGGCATAGGATCTTATAGTAAGAACCTTAACCAGTGCAGGATACTAGAGCATTATTTCACACGGTTTGCTACATTTCTTCCTTAACAACCTGGGTTTTTTTAATTTCCAAACCCCAAACAATGTTTTAATAAATTCCCATCAGATATTTCAGTTTCAGATTGCATTTAAGACAAAGAAAAACAAGAGCCCAGAAAACAAATCAAAGCTAAAAAGTAAACAAGGGAATGCAAAAACGGCAAACCAACCTGATCAACTGTTTGCTGGTCCTCTGGAGTGGCATCAGCGCCTCGATCAAGCGATGCAATGGCATCAAGAAGCTCCTCCTTGAGAGTTTTAGCATCTTTGCCTTTGCTAAAAAATGCAGGAAAGAATGGAACTTTGGCTCTCCATTTGTCAGAGGCTGAAGTGCTGGAGAGTGTGTGAAAGTGAATGGTGTGGGTGGTCGTGGGTTTGGTTGGAAAGCTGAAGGAGGTGAGTGGAGAATGAGAAAAGAGTAGTTTGGGGGGTGAAGGTGAAGAGGAGGATTGGGTGGTTGTGAGGAGCGTAGGTGACAGAGGAGAAGAAGATAAGGCCATGCTGCTAATGCTTCCTTGGTCTTTTCTCTTTTTTTTTTTTTGGGTCATAAGCTTCCTTGGGCTTTCCAACTCCTCACTCTGCTAAAAAACATTATAATTTATAAAGGTTTGCAAAAGGGTAAAGCCGGAAAACTGCTTATGGACTGGGATTTTCTATGCTCGATCAGTCGGCAGCAGCAGTCACTCACTCAAATTTGTTGTTCTATTCACATCCCTACCTTATCACGTTGGACAAAATTTTCATTTCTTAATGCATCCTTATTTTATCTAATTTGTTTAATAAAAACTAAATTAAAAACTTATTTCTTTTGCTTTTTGTAGCAAATAATGAACCACGTGACAAAACTTCTATAGAAAAGTCATTTAGGCTAGTGAAAAATGACTTGACTTGTAGATCAATAGTCTCAAATTCAAACCCCCATAGCATTTGTGTGTGTGAGAAAACTCTTATCCCCTTCCTAACTTTGGTCAAGGGAGTAAAAAGAAGTCGTACATAAGATAGAAAAAGGAAGTATGAATGTAAATAGAAGGCTGAATTACATTTATTTTGAGGGTTTTTGATTGAATAGTCTCTGAATTTGTTCCCAGAGTTACATTTTGCTCATCCAACTAAATTATTTGCTTAAATGATACTCCAACTCTCTATTTTGGGGCAAATTAGTCACATCGTGACATTTTCTATCAGTTTGAATCATGTGAATGGCATATGCTATAGTTTTTAAGACAAGGAAACAAAAATCACAATCACATTTGTAAGGTGAGAGAAAGAAGCTAGCTTTCCACAATAATATTCTAAATCAAGTACATAAATCTGGCTGGGAAGGTAGCCGACAAACGCAAGTAACAGAATTCTCCACTTATTCAGAAAAAAAAAAAAAAAAAAAAAATTTAGACGAATGTCAAAGTTGGTGAGGTTTACCAAATTGAAGTTGGACTTCAAAATTTACTACAAATATAATAACCATTTAGCTACAGCTTTATGTAGTACCACCAACTTGCAATAATATTCTAACAAGCAAACTAGCTCTCATTTCATTTTGCTTGTGAGGACCTATAATGGCTTCTCTCTGTGGTTCTCAACTTTCCCTTTCCGGGCAGCGTATTATCCGAATTCTGAAGTGCAACATGCAGCGACTGTTTTGTTCATTCTCAGGCAGCTTATTTTCCGAGTTCTGAAGCGCGAGGAACAGATAGTCAGAGACTTTTAATTAAAGAAAAAACAATGAACAGAAGATTTCTATGTTGCAGGTATGCTATATGCATGTGCCAGTGCATTCATGTGCATGCTTAGTACTAACAAATATTTGATGAACTGCAGTAGGTGCTTTTGGGTTTGGTTCATTTGGAGCAACCATCAATGGAGGGGATGTCTGAGCTGCCTCTGACCTCTATCGCAATGGAGGTGTCGAATGCGGTGCTTGTTACCAGGTGAGCATCCACACCTAAAGCATGAAAATATGGGCTTGTGATGATGATTAATTTTTTTGCTTCAATATTAATCACTAGGTGAGGTGCACCAACAGCCTCTATTGCTCAGACAAAGGAGTAATTGTAGTTAAAACATGACCAAGGCTCCAGTGACCGCACAGACTTCATCCTTAGCAAACGAGCCTTTGGCCGGATGGTTCAAACTGCTGATGCAGCTGTTTCTCTGCTGTCCCTTGGAATAGTCGATATCGAATACAGAAGGTAAGAGCATAATTAAAAACTGAAAGCAACTTCTGTACCCAAAAAAAAAAAAAAAAACTGAAAGCAACTTTGAGGAAGAAAGAAATTAGTCATTTTCAAATTTCGTGTACTTTTTCTTGCAGAGTAGGTGGTATCCCTTCTGATTAATAGTTATTAATCTTGCATAATTGAAACAAACACAAACACATGGTTTCCTTTATCTATATATGTAGATATTAATTTATGGTTTCTTAATTTATGACAAACTTTGCTGACTAGAAACTAACCAAGTAGCTCTCTCTCTCTCTCTCTCTCAAAACCGGGTTTCATGCAGCTACCCAGGCAAAAATATTACAATCAAGATTGACGAGAACAGTAATTATCCCCATTATTTGGCTTTTGGCTTAATTGGTGATTTGCCCCGTGTGGAAGCAAAATATCTCACCCTAGGTCAAATAATTAGGCCAATCAATTTGGGAATTATTTGACTTAATTGGGAGTTACCTGAATTAATTGGGAGGTTATTTGATTCAGATTGGGTGTATTTGATTCTTGCCTTAATTAGGGATTTGATTAAATTAAATCCCTAAATGCACCAACCTCACCAACCTCGTCGAGGCCCTCTATAAATACTTGGCTACGCACAAGGATTGAGGTACGTCAGAATTACTACTAGAACTCTGTAGAGATATTCCTCTCACAAATCCTAGCCACCTCATCTCTCTCTCTTTTACATAAGGCTCTGGCCGCCTGGTTTACACCATAAACATATCTCCGTACCCTATTAGCTATTGTTTTCTATACGATTCAATTGAACTAATTTAGACATCGAATGGCCTTTGGCTAACACCCCCCGGGTGTGATCCTCTTATTTGTTCTATTTGTAGGGAGAAAGACGCGTTGAAGAAGAAAGGATAATCTTTCCAATCGAATATTCTCGTGGGAAAATTTGCTCCCACACCCCTGTTCTCAAGATCATCGCGGCCTCGCTTCTTGCCTTGAACATGTCATAAAAGTTTTTGAATATAGAACTCTATAAACGCTCTTTTGAGAATTGAGGCAGCCCCACAACTACAAAACGGGCATCAAGGAAAACAATGGCTTCTTGTTCATAAATAACAAACTCTAACAATTTACTTTAAGTAAAAAAGTAAGGGGAGAAAAGAAAAAGATAAACTAATGAAGTTCTTCATTTCCATGCTTTCTTCCCTTGGAATTGTTTGCTAGCTCGTTGCTGCTTTTTCTTTTTATCTATACGAGATTTAGCTATCTTTGCCCTCTTTGCAGCAAAAGGCATGGGTTTTTTGTGTTCCTTCTGCCGATTGCTCATACCGCCCGTCTGTTGGCATTAATGAAAATGCATGTTATAGAAGTTCAATGTCGCAGCATGACCTTATTGGAACTGACTATTCACTTCTTTTTTTCTCTTTTTTTTTTCTTTCTAAAGATAAGATCCCCTACTAGTTCATAGAAGCAACCAGAAAGGTTTAAAGGTGTTATCCGTGTATTCTTCTCGTATAGATAACTTGGGCCCTATCCAGGGCTTGGACCCGTGCTGGGCCTTAGAGTATGAAAAACCTCCGAAGGAAGATCTGCACACTTCGAACGATATCAGAATTAGGGCGGACTAAGGTTGATCCCAGCCTAACCCTCTCTGATGGTTAAGTCAGAAACTATCTTTTGTTTTAGAGAGAATGTATGTAGGGTTTTTATCATATGAAGAGTTATTATTCTTGTCCAGAGATAGGTGATGAGTATTTATAGGGGAGAGAAGGTGAGGGAGGAAATATCTTTGGAAGATATTTCCTTTTTCCTTCTCCTCACCTGAGTTTCATTAAATGCTTCATTTCCAATCACCATGCTTTCTAACATGGAACAGGTGGCGAAGTGATAGACGGCATGGGATGGGTGGTGCATTAACTGATCCCTTTCTATAGCTCCATTAATGGTCAGATCAGTGGAGTGATTTGACCTTTTGACAGGAGGTCTACCATATCTGTACATAATCAATGCGCCTCTGGTCCAGCGTCGGGTCGGTAGAGTTAGGCGCTCGGGTGCTACATCGCCATGAGTCTGGTCGACTCCCAATCTGGGGGTTCGAGTTGGATCGGGTCAGTAAATGGGTAACCCTACCTGCCTATGGTGACGTGGCATTCTATAATTGGCTCGGCTTATGCTGGCGGTACATACCATTAAACAAAAGGCAAAAGTGAGAATGGTGATCTATGCTATGGCAGATACCGGATTACACAACATATTAAAAAGGCTTTAAGAACACTAAACGTGATAAATAAAATTTGACCCTAAAAAAAAAACCATGATAAGTAAAAAGGAAATAAATAGACATCGTCTGGCAGATATAGTTTTTTCAGTCGGAGCTAGCAATTGTTAGGAAAAAGGGAGATGCCATGGATTCTAAGCTTTTGATCTAACAGCCAATGCAGAAGCAATGCTCTTTCAGTTAAACATGGACAAGCACAAATGTTCAACTACTGAACCGATAAAAGGTGAACTGAGTACTAAATATATTAATAGTATTCTGGCAATAAGTGAGATCCAATGAACATACCTTCTTCTGTTTTATAGCAGCTCTGGTACTTCCCTCTGTCCTCCCTCCCTGCTCTAACTAATGCCAATCTCTCCTCCTTGCTCATCCTTTTCTTCACGTGGACCTGCATAGTAGACGCTCAATTGGATCCATGAAAATAAAGAAAGGCACAATATGGCGTTTTTAAGCTTTATAGTTTTCTTTTCCCTTGGATTTATAAGACGCCAAGGCCAGTAGAAAAACTAGAGGGATTTTTGAAGCAAATAATACAGGTATAGGAGTTATCAACGTTTCTAAAAACTTTTTCTCAATCTATTTATCTCTACTTAGGATGCATTATTTCTTATATGCGGAGACAGACTCCTCCAATGCTCAGTTCATCCGAATTGGGAATCATGAATCCTGGGTGATTTGGATCTGCACCCTTTTTCAACAATCCATGCTGAGTCAAAGCAAATCTGGCATCCTTCTTTGCCTGGCAAAATGAAGAATCAAATAATGGACACGGTCTTATGACATCTACAAGAGGTCAGAATGTAAAGATTAAGAGAGATTAAAAACATTAATTTTATTCATGTCCCGAGGTTACAGGATTACAACATGTTTCACCTTTGGCATCAACTTAAGTTTGGGTCCAACCGAACAAATAAAAACAAACCTTTAATTCCTTAATCCTTTGGAAGTCCTCATTAGAATGAAAACCATCTGTTGAGTCCAATGAAGTGTGCTCCATGTTCTCTTTGGCCAATCTTTTTAAAGCACGAAGACTTGCGTCAGCATCATTAAGTTGTTTATCAAAATCAGAAACCTTCCTCTTTTTTGCTTAGTAATTTACTCCAGTTCCACTATCTTCCTCTTCGTCATCCTCATCCTCTTCATCATCCTCATCACCATTGACATCACTGTCATTGTCATCTATACTACCATCACTATCTACATCTTCAGCTACTACAGAATCCTCTTCACTTCCATTGTCACTGTTAGCTATTTCGTTGTCTTCATCATCACTGGAAGCAACCATCTCAGCGTGATCAAGATCATCATCAGTGCCGCTTGATGAAGCTTCATCAGCATCATCACCATCCTCAGCCATCATCCTCTTCTAGCAGTTCAACACCAGGAACATTGCTGAGGATGTTGACTTCTCCATACACTTTTGGTCTTGCCTTTGTGTTAGTAGGGCGCCCACGATCCTTCTTAATCAGCAGTGAGGGGCAAATCTGCACGTACATTAAATAGTCAGCCTTCCACTGCAACATGGTTCATGGAATCCATGCATGTGAAATAAATAAAGAAATAAAGAAGTATATATATATATATATATAGAGAGAGAGAGAGAGAGAAATTCATATTTTTATTGTTGGTGCAATGTGGAAATATATTTAAAGAGTATAGTTGCGCGACTATACTCTATAAATCGAAAAATGGAATTACTATTTACTGAGTAATATAATTCATGAAGTTAATTAAAATATTTAATACTAATTATTCAATAAAGAAATAATAATTAAAATAAGGCAAAGATAATATATAATTACTAAAAATAAAATTTTAAAAAATTAATTAACCTAAACATACTAAGTTTATATTTATTTTTAAACAAAATATCTTCCGATGAAAGTTCGTTGGCACATGTCTATCTTGGCGAAAGTTGCCGTATTAGATCTTTCTGGACGAAATTTTGTCAGGAGATGTCTAATCTGGCAAATATTTGCTGGCATAGACCTATGCCGACGATATTTCGTCGGGAGAGGTTTTTTTTACTTATTTTGTACAGCCGTGCGGCTATACTATTTTTAAAATAAAATAAAACCCAAGTATAGCCCGGCGGCTATACTATTTATACAAGTTAAAAAAGAAGACCCCCTTGCGATTTGGCACTCACGTGTCAAAATAAGTATAGCCGTCCAACTATACTATTTTAAAAACAAATTAGGAAAAAAAAAGCAAGTACAGCCGTCCGGCTATACTATTTGTAAGGAAAAAAATCAGAAGAAACCGTGTATAGCCGTGGGGCTATACAATTTATTATTATTATTTTTAATTTAAAGAAAAGAGGACCTCTTTACAACTTCAAAGTTAGGTCACTATATAATATTTTTGATATATATTATTTTTATTCAATAATATGTGAAAATTATTTGTATAATACATTAATTTTGTGTGTTTTATTGAAAATTTTGTTCAAAATACGTGTATTAAACATAAAAAATACGTACGTACATGTGCACTATTAAATGTGAAAGTGCTAACTTCTTTGTACGAGTAATTACTCTGGTTGTCTTAAACTGCTCTTATCGATAAACGAAAATCAGGAAAAAATATTTAAAAGAGAAAAAGGATCCCAATAAATTACTTATTTTCGTTTGAATGTCTTAATTAAATTTCTTCAAAAACCACCCATTAAAAATCCAAGAAAAATAACCAATTGGGTTTGGATTTTGGGAGTTACCGAACGTAATTGCCAATCCTATTTGGAAGTTGAAGCTTGGAGCATCCGCAATGATGCTCTCTATTTCTTAGCTAAAATTTAGCTAAAACTATCATAAAGCTATTTTAGGAGCTCTCTAAAAAATTTCAACTCCAACTATACTTTATAATTTGGAGAGTCATAAATGCTATAACTCTTTTTTGATTGGTCCATCTTTATTAAAAAATAAAATAAAAAATAGTTAGCATTAAACAAAGGTTTGAAATACTTATTAAATAAAGCAACATTAAATTATAGGGAGTAGGAGCTCCTAGATGACTCCCTATTTTAAGAGCTCTTAGAGAACTCTCTATTTTAGGAGGTGGATAGGGAGGTGGTTGAAGTTACATTTTTACGATTCCTCCCTAAATTTGTCCAAAGAAGTGATTTAGGGAGGCAATTGTAGATGTTCTAATCGGTCACATTCAGCTGTACGAATCTTTTGCACGTGGAGCTTATTGTTTATACTTTTAAGAGGCCATGACGCAGCAACCAAGTCGGCTCGGTATGCTCGTCCTCGCTTTCTATCCCTCTGTGTCTACCCCACTTGCCAAATAAGTTTTGCTCTCGTACAGTCGTGAGGTGTTAAAACCAAAGTCCCTTGGGCCGAAAAAGTTTCTGCTACTTTCCAAGTTCTGCGAAGATTAACAGACCCGCGAACTCAAAGCTCCAATCTTTCAGAAAAGAAGAAAGGAAGAAATGCTCTCGAAAATCTCAGTTACCCACTTGAAAGCATCACCCTCTGCATCGACTTCTGGATTTTCATGGCATGGGAATCAGCGTAGGTTTGGATATTGTGCAAGGAATTCTTCACAGTTTAATAAGCCTCGGTTCAAGATTGTGGGGCAGTCTTTGGGAGATAGATGGAAGCTAAACGAAATTGATGCAAGTGAGTGCCTTTTTGGTTTATTTGTTTTTATATATAAGAATTTTCTTTGTTTGGGGGATAGCCGAAGTTTAACTTTGTTTTTGCATTTATTTGTTGTGCAATACATTTTTCATTAAAAGAACATTTCTCTTTATTTTCTGGAACAACCTTTCCAATATTATGGGTTTTCTGTGTCTTCGAACGCTTAAATTTATAGTTTGTATTTTCAAGCTGAAGTCTTAAACTTGCAAAAGGTAGCTATCTTAATATTTTGTGGTTCGTAATGATGGGCAATTCTTTTCCTGGTTTCTATTGGGATTGCATCACACTGTGGCAAAGCTCCATCTTAATCTTTTGTTCTCCTATTCTTGCAAATTCCAAAATATGTCTCTTTTACAAGAATTTAGATATCTTCAATAAATTATAGCTTGGATTCAATGTGTGTGCTCAGAATCTTCTGAGTCTAAGCCAACCAGATAAGTAGAATGAATTTTGGTCTATACTTTGTGAACCTTCTGGTTTCAAAAATACAATACAGAATATATAAGACTCCCGAATCATCTCAGAATCAGCTAATTTAGACAATGTTAGGGTATGAAAAAAAAAAAAAAAAAGGAACAAGAACATGTCTAGAATATGGAAAAAATGAAAGTATAAGAATGAGATGCACCGTTACTTTCTTTGTTGGCTAAGCTGGGTGCACCACTACTTTTTAATGCTTACATAACAGTCTCTAGATTTTATGAAACATGTGCCAAAAAATAGTCTCTTTAAAATTTTTTCTAGTGCTAGCTATCTATAACTATTGCATTTTGACAGATGCAGTGCAAGAAAAGTTGAACTCATGGCTACTGAAGACTCAAAACTTTTTAAATGAAGTGACTTCTCCACTGGTAAGAACTGGTCAGACTAGAAAGCCTGTCACCAGAGATGCTTTGGAGACGCAGGATATGGAGGACATATTTATGGCTGAACAGACTATTAATAACAGAACACCAAATGGAGTTCTCTCTTTAGCTGCTATTATATCTATTGAGCAATTTAGCAGGTGAGTTCATTTTTCAGTTAAGTTATTTTGGCTTAGAGTTATGCGTCTGTCTCTTGTCCCATGTGACTTGTTGCAATATGAATTTTATCCTTTGAGATGCACTATTTTGATATTACCACTACCTTTTTCTGTCCACATTATGAATTTTTTTTATTCAAGAAAAGGAATAGATAATTAAAAAGGAACGAGAAATATCCTATTGGAATGCATCATCAAGCCATAAAACTTCATTAAACTGGCCTCTACTTTGTATATGTGCCAGCCACAGTTGTACTTTCAATTTTCCTGCCTCTATTTACTCTAATAGGGTTTATTCACATATTGCCCTGAATGAGGTAGGTTTTTAACGCGCAGCTGGATAACATTCCATTTGTTTGGAATTTTCATTACTATGCAAGAGCTTCCTTGGTTTTATGTACTTATCAAACTGACATAAGAATTATCATTTGACTCTTTGAAGTTAAGCTCTGCAGGATGAATGGATTGACTGGGCAGAAAATGCAGAGAATATTTAAAGCACTGGTTTCTGAGTCTACATATAATGATGCCCGCAATTTGGTTGAGTATTGCTGCTTTAGGTTTTTGTCAAGAGATAATTCTGATATTCATCCTTCCCTCAAGGTGCGTAGTATTAGTGCAAGTGAAACTCATATCTCATGATATATTTGTGCACTAAATAAGAATTGGTTTACCCATAAGGTGCTTTCTTGAATATCTCATACGAGATGTGGATTTTCCTATATTGCAGCAAACTTTGAGACACTTTTCGGTCTGTAGAGGGTGAATGGGATGATTTGTGTTCTTTGGTAGTGGGTTCCTGCTCAGAAGAGTTGCTTATGATTCTCTAACCTTTTCAGAAAATTACAATTTTTGTTATGAAATAGTGTGGTCTTGATTAATATTATCTATGTTCATCGTACTTGCTTTCCTTTGTTTTATTTTTTGTCCCCTTGTTTCAACTTCTTAGCAAATCTGTCCAAGCAGTCCATGAACATATTTCTTCCTGTAAGCAAAATTCGTGGATTGTACTATAGTTATGTGTAAACTGGATTTTTCTGTGTGTAGAGTATTTCCTGATAGTTATCTATTGAGTACCATGTTGCCCAAATCTTTGATCTATGGTTGTAAGAAATGTGCTAATAGTAAACATCTGTGTATTTGTTTTTATTTTTTGTTTCTGTCTTGAACCTAAAACCTGATGTTGTCCTTAGTGCTTCTGAACTTTTTCAGTTCAGTGATTTTGAGTTGAGCCAAAAAAGTTTCTTTTTCTCTTCAGTAAAATTTCAGTTCTAAGATTAGTATCTAGCTTAACTTGTAATTTGGTTCTTGTTTCTGGCCAATGTTGGTGCATCCACAGGAACCTGCGTTCCAAAGACTGATATTTATAACAATGCTTGCTTGGGAGAATCCATATCGAGAAGATCTTGCTAATGGTTCAGAGAAAGCTTCCTTTCAGGTTCATTCTTCAGATCATCTATTTAAATTTTTTAAACCAACCTTTGGAACATAGCGAGTTTTGTATTACTGTCAGGAGTTAGGGGGCAATAGCGGGCTTGGGCCAATTTCTGTATGGAGAAAATTCTGCATATGTCTTTTGTTAGTATTCCTTGTTTAGATTATGGAAAATGTGAATGATATCACGCTCTATGAGATAGTTAGGATAGGTAAAGAGCGATATGACATTTTCAAAGTTCATCAACCTGCTTGGAGGCTTAGAGAGCTGTTTATCTGATGAAGTTGATGGTGCAATAGTTTCAAAATCTATGTGACATGTACCGAATGTGCTCCAGGGGACCGATATAGTTGTACCTCATATCATATATAAGAACACTGCATAGTACGACATTGGGGGTTTTGGTGATTCCATAATCTCTTGTTTTATATTAGAAGCTAGACATTTACAATTATCACTCTTTTCTTACTGTATTCCTTTTTGGGTTTAATTATGTTGCCTGGCAATGTTACATGTCTTCCCTGTTATAATTAGGTTTTTAGTATTTCCCGACTGTTTTACATCTTGCTTCTATATAAACAAAACTGTAGAAAGACAATGGAACTGATGATATTTTCTGTCGAAGACTTCAATGATGAGCTCCATTAAATTTCTTCTAGGTGGGCTTTAAATGCCAAGGTTTCTTTGTGAAGGCTTCGTATTTTTGTCTTCTCTCTGATTTCCATCTTGCTATACAAACTCTATAACACTGACAGCTGTCCCCTATGATCTATGTTATCCTTCAAATTCTTACTGTAATTCCTTTGGTTGTACTACACATTGTTCTTCGTAACCACAACAAGATTCCCTTCTGTTGAGAAATTTATGCAAGCCTTTTAAGGTCTATTTTGTCCCAACCTATATGAGCATGGTAATCAGTCTTGTATGACAATTCAGTCAATTTATTTTTCTTTTGTCTTTTGATGTATCTTAATCTCAACTCTTAAGATGAGTCATAATTTTTGGGCCTATGTGACGTTCAGTAACTACGGTATGTAGGCATGGACCAAGTCATGCAGTCTACAGATGGTTAGCACTTTGGCTAAAAAGACTAAACAGTGTTCTCTTGGGCCTTACAATTGTTTTGAAATCTTGATTCTAGGGACCACCTTCCCTCTGGCCCTTCTTTTCATTTATAGGTGGTTTCTGTGGAACTGATGCTCAGTTCCATGCTTGTCTTTTTCCTTTGCTAGATGTATTTTCAAATGGTACTGATGTAGTACAGCCCGTAGGTATTAGATTAAGCACTCAAACAATAGAATGTAGAAGAATATAAGAGACCAAGGAGAAGAAGTAGAGATCGAAAAGACGAGATAAAGGACAGAAACAGTAGAACAAGAAGAATATCGGAGATCAAGGAGAAGAAATATAGATCGAAGGGACGAAATCAGAGAGTTCTAGGAAAAGGTTTACTCAACATTCAAATCTGAAATTTAAAGAACTACATGGGGGTATTTATAACAAACTAAAACCTAGACATAACAGGATAAAAATCCCTTGCTTAAACAGAAATCCTAACCCAAATAAAATAGGAAACTTAAAACTAGAAATCTAGAAAAGTAGAAATCCTACTAGAATTGGGAAAACTAGAGAATCTAGGAAACTAACAAATACATTAGGTAACTAATAAATCTAGGTCATATGCGTCCTGCATCAGGTACATACCAAAAAGTTCTGCTCCAATTGAACTAAAACTCATCAAACTTATGTTACGAGGATCACTCAATCTAACAGTTTGCAGAGGACCATGAATACTTGCAATCTATTTCTCTCTTTAATCATTAAGAGAAGGTACATACTGCATGTTTGAAATAGCCATAACATTACAAATTTTTATAACTACCTCTTACTGTTTCCACGTCTTGAGTAACAATATGAAGGATTTAGTGGGTCTTGAGTTATACTCAGGAAAGTAGGATGTATTGGCGATAAGGAACCTAATGACTTTTGTTTGGCCCCTCCAAGGACAGATTTCTTGTTCCTCTACCACATGTAGACATAACGACTTTTTGTTGAACAATTTTTTTTCCTTTCTATTTTCTTAGATTGCATTTTTGAAAGTGGTCAGTTGAAGTAGATTTATTTCTTTCTGCACTACAGAGCAAGCTTGTGAGAGAAGAGGCTTTTGTTCGTGTGGCTCCTGCTATTTCTGGTATGGCTGATAGGTCAACAGCACATAACCTATTTAAGGCTCTTGCTGGTGATGAACAGGGCATCTCTTTGAGCTTGTGGTTGACTTATGTTGATGAACTTATGAAGTAAGTTTCATTTTTTGTTTTTTTACTAACCTTATTTATTTAAATTAAGTCTTCTGATAACTTTGACAACTTAAGCAATTGATACCATTTCGTATTCACGACCATGAACTGCAGATAAATATAATTTTATGTGTATAACCATTGTAAAATCTTTCAGTTAATTTATAAACTGACTTTTGGTCTTTTCCTGAATCCATAAGAGTCGGCTGAAAGAACATAGGGGTCTCTTTTCTCTAATTAGAACAGGTCTTGAACAAAAGCACCTGGCTTCTATGAATTATCCTCAATTAGGATTTTGGAATCAATTTTCTTCTATGCCTTTAATGAAATCGATAGAAAGAGTTGAAAGTTGTTGATTCTTTACTGATTCATAGTTGTAGGTTCCTTTAACGATTTGTAACTTGGGCTTTAGAATAGGTTCTAGCTCATGAATCCATGATTGTGGCCTCCCATCACTAACAATGTATACAATGAACAACCTAATTTGCCATGAGAATTTGTGTCCTCCAATCACTCTAGCCTTGTCAGTGGGGAAGATTCCCTAGTACTCTTCTTAGTCATAATCTAGAAGCCTTAGGGAGTGGCCTAATTGTTTGGTCATGGGAATCAGAAATATAATTGGTGTTCTTGGCCATGGCCACGTATGGCTCAATCAAGACAAATTTGTTCATGAATTTCCTAATTTCCTAATTTTTCTTTTTTATATTTTTAACTTCCATCCATGTGTAGGGATGTCTCATGTATTACATTTTCATAATATGTTTATGTGCATTCCTGTTAAATATGTAGAGTAATTCTCCTTGATAGGTTCTAGGAAGCTCACCTTGAACTAGTTTTATTTATGTAGGGTTCATGAAGGTAGAAAATCATATCAGACTCGACAAAGTCCTGACCTTTCTGAGGAGAGAATTTTATGCATTGGATCTAGTAGGAAGCGGCCTGTCCTAAAATGGGAGAACAATATGGCATGGCCGGGAAAAGTTACTTTAACTGATAAAGCAATTTATTTTGAGGTAATTAATCTTTCTATGAGTTCCATATTCTATATTTCCAATTAATCTGAAATTCTTGAATTGGAAATTGAGGGACTACTTTATGTCCATTTCCATATAAGTACATTAAGTTGTTGGTAAATATAAACTCTATAATCAATCAACATTCATCACTGTAAACAGCGATTGTAAATTATGCAAGGGCTTTCTAGTAAAAAGCACTATGGCACACACTTGGAATTAAATTTCCATGCTTTATGTTTGAAACTATGTATTGAGTTCTCATTGTTAGTTTTGATTTACAAAAAATAAAAACTTCAAAAGCCTTATAGATTTTTTAAGATACAGAAATATCAACAGGTCTTCACACACCTGTGTTGCAGGCAGTTGGCATATCTGGGCAAAAGGATTCTATAAGATTGGATCTTACTAAACATGGATTACGGGTTGAGAAAGCAAAAGTTGGACCTTTTGGTTCTGATCTATTCGACTCTGCGGTCTCTATATCATATGGTCCCGAGTGAGTAAGCTTCTTTAGAGTGAGACTCAGCATTCTTGTTTTTCTATTCTATAAAGTGCGTAATTACCTGTAGTTACATTTAGCTATCTTGTCAACAGTTTTGTATAAAATATGAAAACATTTCTGAATGCTTTTGTTTATAAATATTCGTTCTTTGGAATAATGATATGAGAAAGTTAAATGTTCAGTTGAAAATTAATTGAAAGTATACTTGTGGCAAAAAAAAAAAAAAAAATCGAATATATACTTATATTTTAAGCTTATAAACAAAATTAGTTAAACTATAAACGACATAAAAATGAAAATACACATTGGCTCACAAGAAATTAACTACTTTATGTTGGAATGTGAGACCATGCTATTGTTAGAAAGAAAAGAAATGTATACTGAATGATCTAAAAAAGTCTAGTTTCATTACCAGACATCATAAAAGTTGATATGGTTCCTTCTGAATCTTTAAAGGTTTGAATTCCTGTTAGATCCTTTCATACTTTATGTAATTGTGTAAGCAATTACAGAAAAAGCCCTTTGTAATTTCTCCACAAATGCTTTTTTGTTTAGCCAATGTATTCTTAAAAAACTCTCTTTATTTGCTAACCAATATTTAAATACAGATCAGAAGCATGGGTGCTTGAGTTTGTTGACTTGGGTGGAGAAATGAGGCGAGATGTGTGGCATGCTTTTATTAGTGAAATTATTGCTTTACACAAGTTTATCCGTGACTATGGACCGGAGGAAGTTGATGAATCAATATCTCATGTTTATGGTGCTCACAAAGGGAAGGAAAGAGCTATGACCAGTGCCATTAATAGTATAGCTAGACTACAGGCTCTTCAATTTATGAGGAAGTTACTAGATGATCCCACCAAACTCGTTCAGTTTACATATTTACAGTATGCACCCTATGGTGATATTGTTTCTCAGACTCTAGCAGTGAACTATTGGGGTGGGCCACTTATATCAAAGTTTCTAGAGGTGGACAACCCACCAGCTCAAGGAGCAAGGGCATCTAATGAAATGATTGAGAGCAGTAATCATGTGTTTGATATAGATGGCAGTGTTTACTTGCAAAAATGGAAAAGATCTCCATGTTGGGCTTCAAGTGCTTCTGCTAGCTTTTGGAAGAGTACTTCAACAAGACAGGGGCTAGTATTAAGTAAAAATCTTGTCGTTGCTGATGCGGCTCTTGTAGAAAGGGCAACAAGAACATGCAAACAAAAATGGCAGGCAGCTGAAACCACTCAAGCCACAATTGATGCTGCAACCCTTAAGGGAATACCCAGTAACATAGATCTATTCAAGGTTGGTTCTTAGATTCATCTCCATGGTTGCACCTGACAATTTAGAGTCTTTCTGAAAAAGTATATCTCTATTCATCGAGAATCACCCATTATATGGACAGGATACAAGTTAATTAGGAAAGAACACAGGCTGATCTTCAGCCCCTAAAATCAGCTAACCTACCATATATACATTTATCTAATTATAGCCTACAGCTAGTATATCCTAATTAAGGAAAGAATCTGCTGGTATTTAAATCTGTAAATCTGTATAATCGGCTGTCAATCTGCTGGCATTAAACGTGTAGTTATTTCCTTTGACAGCACCCTTTACTTGCCATTACTTTATTCACTGCATAATGAACATCATTTTGTTTGGACATCTTGCTTGAAGCAGTTTTGTTTTGCCTTTGAATCGTCAGACTCCTCTTGTTCTGAAGTCTTCCGGGGTTCGCTTTTTCACCTTATTATTGTGTTTTTGTGCTGGTGTGTCAATGTAGTTGCACCGTAGTTTTTATATAATTTGCAATGATCTTGTCTCTTGAAATATCTTCTAGTTTGTTCCAAACATTTTTCTCACCCATTGTAAACTGATTTATCTTCTTTGAGTAACCAAATACGAATTGAAGTAGTGTTCTCCCCATTGACAATGACTAAAGTTGATATGAAAGCTAGTAGTGCTAGTTATTTGTTTCCACTTGAATTAGCCGTTCGCTGCGTTCTATGGATTAATGAGTAGTAATTCTCTCTATCAGATAAACTTGATTGTAAGGACCTTGATGGGATTAATTTGAAGATGAAGATATCTGAGAATATTCATGAGCGCAGTTAACGTGCCTTTCATTTTCCATTTTTTGTTTGGAAAACTAGAGTTTTCCATTTTTGAGCTCATATTATTCAATATAATTTTCAGTCAAACTATTAACTCATTACAATAAACGACTAACTTGACATTAACTCTTGTATACAGTATTAATTGAACTCCAAGAATTGGGTTCATAAATGAAACCCAAAATAATAAGCATGTGTGACATATATGTCTCCCATGTATTTATATGAATACAGAACTTTTGTTGTTACTCAAAGACTACCATGTTTACCAATTATCTCATCAATATATGTCACAGTTTGAATTATAATGTGATTTCGTTCAACTAATTGTTTTGAGGGCGTCCTCTCTAACAAAAGATTGTTGCATTGTAACTCGTTAACATGGTTTCATTAGTTACAGGAAACAATATGCTGGAAACTATGTTCACCTCATGATTAGATAATTGACATTGTGAAGCTGTAACATATTTTATGTTCAATGGCTTTGCTTTCACTTGAGATTTCCCTTGGTTTCTTATTCTTATGTTTGAAGCATAGTGAACAATTAAATAAACAATGTTGGTGCTGCCTTTTCTTTTGTGCAGGAACTTCTGCTTCCTCTGACAATAACTGCAACAAATTTTGAAAAACTTAGGCGCTGGGAGGAGCCGCACTTGACTGTTTCTTTTCTTGCATTTGCGTATACAGTCATTTTCAGGTAGGTCCAATTCTGGAAGAGTTATTGTTGAGAAGAGATCCCTCTCTGGGAATGTAAATCCTTGTGTTGCAATATATGATGTCCTAGGCCTTTCAACTCATTACCAATGGGTTTTGTGTTAGATGATCTATCAGAGCATGCAATCCACATTTAGGCCCATCAGACACGCGTTCCCACATACCCAATATAGGTTGTCTAAGTGTATGGCTCAACTCATGCCACACGTTAGGGGTGTGTTGAGAACTTGAGTATATCCCACATCAGGATTGTAAAGTCTTGCATTGCAATATATAATATTGCCAATTGGTTTTTGGTTGGAAGTTCTGATTCCTTCAGTTACGGTATATGTTTCCCCTAAAAAGTTGAGAAATGGATATGGTTTTCTTGCTTTTAAAAGAGAGTGATAATATTCTTTACATGACCTTTGGCAAAGGGATGTCTGATGACTATGGTTTTGTAAAATTTTCCTTAAATATATCCTTGTGTCTTGGATATTCAGAGCTTTTCATTTGGTTTTGATTGCAGTTTGAACTTTTTAACTGTTTTCTTCTAAATGGGGCCCAAGTTCATATCTCCCCTCTGACAATTGATATAACTGATCAATTGCTTATTTCTAAATATGTTTGAGAACTGAATCTGTTTCTAGAGGCAATGTGATCACTACCAATTTGTTCATATATTCCTCATCCTAGGAAATATGAAGGCAATGTTTTTGTCTCCCTTTCCTTTTTTTTATGCAACTATGCATGTTTTTGGGTAATGTTTATTACAATTTATATTACTATATTGTGTGGAGTTTCCTGCTAAGAGCTTTCTTGTAAAATATATAGGGCAGTCTTCTCTATCTAAGAGCTTTCTCTCTCTTTTGAGCTGGGCAATTCATTAATATGTTGCCCAATTTAGCTACACTTGCTCCATGTCACCTAATATAATTTATCCATGTGTTGTGCTTAGTGTGGCCACACTTCAGGAGACGTCTAGAGTATGTAAAATTCCACATCACTCATTCTAAATCTTGCCTCTCAGATATAAGTTTTGAACCCCTTCATCCATTGCCAATTAGTTTTGAGTTTACTATAATTTTGACTTGGTATCGTGTAGTATCTCTTATCATATAAATTCATTGTATGGGTGAAGGGGCAGTCGTTGATAAAACCCTAAATGTATTTTTTAAAGTCTACCTCTTATCTTTCTTCCTTCTCCCTAACCGACTATTAGAGAACTCAAATCAACTTGTTTTGTATGCATTCTAAGTGGTACCTCTGAATTTCTAGACTCTGATTTTACTTTGAGCTAATCTCTTGAGATGCTTTGCCAGGAATTTACTCTCATATGCATTCCCAATAGCATTGATGATTTTGGCAGCTGTAATGCTGACACTGAAGGGGCTAAAGGAGCAAGGTCGCCTTGGACGATCATTTGGAAAAGTTACTATCCGTGATCAGCCTCCTTCAAATACCATTGAAAAAATTATAGCCGTAAAAGATGGCATGCGTGATGTGGAAAGTTATTTACAGAATCTGAATGTCACTCTTCTGAAAATACATACAATTATCCTTTCTGGCCAGCCTCAGGTATGTATTGATTATTTACATGTGCAATTATGAAACTCGTAACCTGTTTCCTTAAATCTCTCTCTGCTGCTTTGATGTTGTTTAGTGTGACCTTTCAACAAAGCATATTGTCACTCAATATATATATGTATAAACATATCAGAAGTTCCCCGTGCAGGATTTCCTGTCTTCTACTCAATTTCTTCCAGTTCAGTCCCATTTATTGACACAGTATTTAGGGTATAGAATGGTCGTTAAGAGCTTCGACTTTAGGTTTTAAGTATCAAATTTTGTGCTTGATACTTAAAACCTAAACTCGAAGCGATTAACCAATCCGAGACTAGAAACCTCAAGTCTAGTGTAAATGATGATTTTACAGCCTAAATAATCAACCACGTCAATAAATGTGATCAAAGTTGAAGAAAACAGAGTAGAAGTGAGGTTTTCTCAACCCCTCCTGCACAGAGTCGGACTGATACACGTATAAATTGTATTTGGGACATAAAAGAATGAAATTAGTTCAGTTTTCAGTTTTACTTCAGGCTTATCAGTAACAATCATTTTGATTTAAACATTTATCAGATAACCACTGAGGTTGCACTGGTGTTGTTATCTTCTGCAACGATTCTCCTCATATTCCCATTCAAATATGTTCTTGCCTTTCTTATCTTCGATCTGTTCACACGGGAGCTTGAGTTCAGGAGGGAAATGGTTACAAGGTTTATGAATTTTTTGAAGGAGCGCTGGGACACAGTGCCTGCTGCCCCTGTAGTTGTATTACCTTTTGGAAGTGATGAGCCCATACCAGAACCTGTTAGAAAGGAAAACAAGGACGCATCAAAGTCAGAAAGAAGTCATAGCAGCAGCAGTTCTGTTTAGATTCTTATTGGCATATATGTGGCAGTTTCATAGGTTGAAATTCAGTAATACCTCAGTTATGGAGAAAGAAAACATGACCAAAATGTTCTGATTCCATTATTTGTACAGAAATTGGAAACACATTTAGTGTCAATGTAATCCTTCTTCATTTAACTGGATTGTTTGATTTGATTACTTAATGGCTCTGACTAAATCAATCCAGAACCTATTCAAGAAAGAAACAAGAGAGAGTGCACTGGGGAGGATTTAGGTTGTTTGCTCCAGTAGATACAGGTTAAGAGAACTGTCAGATTCTAGCTTGTTTGGATCTCATCCAGGTGAAACCTGTATAAGGTATTTTGTTTTGCACTGTTTCCGTTTCCAGTTTGGTAAGTTGCAATGTGGTTATGTTCAGAGAGGTGCATCATGCATTTGCCTTCTCATGCATACATGCATATGCGCATGTACGAACACATGTTCATGGGTGGAGAAAGAGCGACCTATGTAGCAACATCTGTACTTTTGCACCCTGACAGCACGACTGAATCTGGGTTTTCCATATAATTGAATGGTTCCACTAAAATCACAAGCATTTTGCATAGTTTTGCCATTTCAATTGGAAACCCTTTTTTTTTAGGGTAGGTAATGCTTAAAATGTTTGTCATGGCTGCAACTGTGTTTATTCACATAATGTGGTTGCAAATGTGCAAAGCTTTTGGTTATTTAGATTTATGTAGGCTGCAATTTTAAGTTCATGATAATACAAAATCATACTAGTAGTACATGTTATTGGGACAGAGTGTAAATTAGTGGGAAGGGCATTTGCATGAACATAATTTATTTTCAGGCTTCAGGACCCAACCATGGTTAATGGTTGCTAGTTTCAATTTTGGAACATTTGGTTGTTTAGGCTTTGCCATGGAAACTGTGAAATCCAGTCGGATTTTGGTATATTTGTTTATTTTCATTGTGTTGACAAGTTCTGTATACCAATTTGTTGTAGCAATATAACAAGGTAACATACATGCATTTGGAAAACTTTGTATTCTCCTTGCACTTGTGAAGTAAGCTCAATAGAAAATACTGGAGGAGGAAATAATGTGAAATAAATACAGCTACAAAGTACGAACTGTGAAGAATCTGCTAAAACATAGACTAGAAACTGAGAATCAAGGGGAATGCGAGTATCAATGACCACCATCTTTGAGAGAGTGCTTTTAATTCCTTTGATCCATTGCAAACAAGCTGCTTATCATGATAAGAGCACACCGTTTGGTTCCTAAGCCCAATTTTGACAAGTTAATTAGAATTGTTAATGCATCTGATAAATCCTATTAACCGTTAGATTTTCATCCGGATTAGAATTCGATAAGTGCATTAAGGTCAGTGTGTCAAAGAAACCCAAAAGTTCATTTGGTTTAAATGTGATCTTACCTTGATGCGCAGAAGGTGACAATGAAGTCTGCACCAGAGCATGTTATAACACTGGTAGGGTCATCATATGCAAAACTATATGCTGCAGGGCACGCTTGTTTAAAACTCCTTGAATAATTAGTAGGTAGACATGTCTGAGGGTTTCCAAATGTCCCTCTACAGCAGTATTCATCGGTGTTGAACACGTTGCATGCACTCCGGCAAGCAATGACTTTTCCTTCGGCCTTAGCCGCGAGCTCTGATGGGCAGCTCTGCCTCAAGTCCCTATCACAACCAGCAGTGCTGCAATTGCCTTTACCACTGTTAGTAGGTTTAACAATTACAGGCAAATTAAAGCCATCCACCAGGCTAACATCATAGTAATCAATCTCCTGGCCGAGTGTAAATTCGGCAATTGAGGCAGGTGGGCTGCCGGGGCCTGTACAGTTGATGGTGGTGCCGCAGCTACCTGTTTGGCATTTGCCATTGCCATTCTTGTCAAAACTGCAGCCGGTTCGAGCCCATATTCGACCATTCCAGTCAGCTGGAGCTGTATAAACTGTAGACTGGCCTTGATTCAATGTAAAACCACTGCCACTGAAGTTTTCACTGTGTGTTATGCCAGGCCATATTGTCTCCTTGCACTCATTTACTATGGTGAAGATCTTTGCACTTGCATATAACTTAGCCCCTAACCCACAATTCAACAAAATGTCCAACAAGTTTTGTAAGCCTAAAAGTTCAATAATTTGCCATTTGAAAAATTACAACTCCAGAATTTTCCTTTTTTGTAATTTTGTTTTTGAAATGCAAGCATAAGAATGCTGCATGCTATTATGATGCAAGTGCAAAGTTAAATGTGAATTTTGAAACATACAGCAAGACCAATAACTCAAAAGAAAAAACTAAACTAAACTAGGCAAGAGAAGGGATATATATATTACCGCATGCTATTAGAATGGTGATGAACAAGGATCTAAGAAGGGCATTGGGATGGCAAGCCATCTTTTAGTTCCTCTCTGGTTAGCTCACTGACACTGACAGTACAATTGTATTTGAAGTGAACTAAGGAAAGAATACGTGTGGAAGAGAGTGAATCCCCAACTAGTGACAGCCCAAAAGGCTTGCTTATTCTGTCATATGATACCTTGCCTCAACTCAATGCCATATACTGACTTTTATTTTATACAAGCGATACTAGGGAGGGGGGAATCGAACCTAGGACCTCAAGTGTAAGGGTAAATGCTTTTAATCACTTCAGTTACAAGTTCCTTGTTTTTCCCTTATGTTTTAAATTTCTTTTCCATTGGAAAAAGCCAACTTGGAGCAGGTCTTAGGATCAAAATTTCTCTGGCTATATCTTAGGATCAAAATTTCTCTGGCTATATCCAAAAAAATATCACTTTATTAAATATTGTTGTTTTAAGGGCCCGGGGCCTGGGCCGCGACATTATATATATATATATATATATTGTAAATAATATATATAATATAATATAGTATAGTTCATGCTCATATTAGAAGGATTTGAGTGTTTAAAGGCCCAAATAACAATCACTTTAAATCTTTAACAACAAAAGGCCCATATTTACAATTTAAACATTATAAAATTATTATTTTTGTTTTAAAACAACAAACATCCAATTAACACAAACACTTCTTTGAATATATATATATATATTTTTTTTTTTTTAAGAGAACTGAACAAGGGAAGCTTTATTGATGAAACGAAGAATTACATTTGGTGGACAAAACGCCTGACCCTAACTCAAAGAATCACATAATAGGGTGTCCTGAATAAAATCAAGGGGCATTTCAAACCAAATAAAGTTGTCCACATTACGCAGACCAAATCGAGCAAGTTGATGTGCAACACCATTTGCTTCCTTACGAGTAAATTGAAAAAGAGAGCCAGAAATATGTTTATGTAGATGCTTTACATCTTCAACAATGGTACCAACATTTGAATAATTCTGTCCTGCTCGCTTTACGGTTGCAACCACCACAACAGTGTCTCCTTCAAAGATGGGAGATGCAATCCCAAGTGAGAGAGCAAGCGCCACCCCTTCACGAGCCGCATGCATGTTCAGCCGACATCACTTCCCCCAACTAATTTCTCCATTGCAGCCACAAACCCTCTATCCGCGTCTCTAGCAACAACCCAAACAACCCCTCTACCCGAAGTAGGATCAAACGCTCCATCAAGGTTGAGTTCGAGGTGGCTTGACGATGGTGTTGCCCATCTAATAGCATCCCACACTCGATTAGTTACTTTGAATAGAGTGTCATTTACCGTAATAAATTCATGCACATATTGTTGAGCAAAAATCACAACATCATGTGGAGATTGTTTACTCCCTTCAATAAAATGTTTAGTTCTTCTAGTTTGATAACTTTTTTGTTCTCAACTATTTTATGAATTTTTATTTTTATTTTTTTTTATGTTTCATGATTCATGTTCTTTTGTTATTTTAGTTTACTAGAGTTACCATAATTAAGCCAAATATATATATATATATATATATACGTGCACATTGCATAATTTTTTTTTTCTTTTGTTAAACTAGATACAAAGAAAAAGAGGTCTCATTTTAATTTATGCCCCTAGGCCACCCAAAAAGTCAAGCCGACCCTGATTGTAGCATGTTGTGGATTAGAACAAAAGCTCTATTATCATCTGAAATGAAATAGGCTTTAGAATAATGCTCTTAAATCATGCAAATTTGTGACTGGCATAACAACCAGACAAAGATGAGTTTACACAACGTAACAATCACAATATCCAATTAACTATAACTATATATGACTTGTGAGTATAAGGATTTTAATCCATGGCAATTATAAAAGGATTGGGTCAATCAGTTGGCCTGGCCCGGCCCTACACAAATCCTAATTCCCTTCTCAAGACATATAGGTTTTCCAAGGAATTCAAGGCGTACATTAGAATCCCTTGCTTGATTCCTAGACTTTGAGCCTTCCGTGGCTTGAATCTTCGAGGTTTGATAACAGCTCTGCAAGTTCCGACTCTGGTATCAATTTCCAATTGATCCTTATCATTTTGAAGGTGTTGTTCTCATTTGTAGGGCAGGTTCTGACCCTCTTTTCCGATTGTTATTACATTTTGCAGACCTTTTGAGGCATAGAAAAGAACCTATATTAAAACAATTCCCCATTCAATGCACGATGGTTTGATTAGAAATCCAGTTTCTTGGCTCATAAGTTAATTTTATTCATTCAAGTATATTAGGGTTTTACACTACTCATATTGGCACGCTCACAATTTAACTTAATCTTTATCCTATTTCTGAGGCTTGAAGATTGGTTTTTGGTAAACACTATCTTAGAACTTTTGCTTTTGGTTTTTGCTGAGTTCATCAATGACTTCACAAGGTATATATATGTACCTTCATGTGTTTATGATACGTACAGAGAACATGTATTTATAGGTACAGAGGATGTGTTTACAATTATTTGGACCGGTTTATTGATGGTTAGCCTGAACTCAGACCAAGCTTTAAATATTCTCACCAAACATTTACAATTCAAGTTTAGCCTTCTTTTTCCGTTCTGTTTTAATCTTACATGTGGTATTAGAGCACTCATATACATTTAAAGGTCGACAACATAATCAAAAGCACTCATATACATTTAAAGGTCGACAACATAATCAAATCATGAACATGATAAACCTTAGTTTTTGCCCCACATGCATTTTGCCATGCTCGATGTTTTGATGGTTAATTTGTATTCTAATTACACAATATTTCATGTATAGGGGTATTAGTGTTTTTTTATAGTACAAACGAGGGGTTTACACAAATATTCATTGGATGCATGAATTGGTCCCTTGTTTACAAACGAGGGATTTATGATTTTTTTATTATTTTATTTTATTTTATTTTATTTTGTATTT